GAACAGCAACTGAACTCCAAAGAGCATGGTTCTATTCTAATCACTTCGGACGCACTAAGATGGACAGGAAAAATATCACCCATTAAAGACCAATCGTGCGAAGGATGGCTTTTGATTCAGTGAATCGCGGATCACGGGTCGCTCGAGGACACCACATAGATCTACAGACAGTATTGTGACAAAGTGAAAGTGTATCACTATTTTCCGGATTTGGGCCTTTAAAAAAAAGCTAATAAACAGTAAAACTGGTAGTCAGCTAGGCTTCACTTGACGCTTGGTGGTGGAACCACAAGAGCTGCTACCTCAAACAAGGCCTACATTGTATCGATTAACTGCTTAGTAGAACAGCCCACAAATCAAAAGATTATGCTATCGGACTGACTGTTTAGATGAGTTCAGAATTTCCCACTAACGAAAGTAATCTGTACAAAAGCTGTGTCAGACCCTGCTTTCTCACCTCTACCTCGTTTATCCATTCGACGGAAGTGTCTGTATCTGCAATAGTGTCTCTGATGGACTCCCACCTAAATGTGCTCTCTTGTCCTTTTCCAATTAGTATGCAAGCCTCAGTAAGTCTGCGTAGACCTCCAGACATTCCTTTCTCCTTAAATGTCCTCCAAAAATAGCTCTATTAGGGATATAATCTCTGCTGCGTTTAACAAAACAACAGTGATAGGCTCTCGTACCCTCGACCCCAGTGAACGACGACTACGGATGCTAAGAGATAGGGCGGAGAACGGAAATCAGTGGCGCAAATGCGGTCTGACCTGTCAGTTCCACTCTAGAGCCACACAAAGTAAAACAAGCAAATACATGAAAAGTATGTAGTGTAACCGTTTCAAACCAGTTGATGCCGTTTTTGCTAAACTTCCTTCGCTTTGTTTATTCATTCTGCTGCGATCGATGTCCAGTGCTGCTTGTTGGCCTTCACGATATTGCTCATTGAGTAAAATCAGTTTTTCACTTTACGTATCCCTCTTTACCCACAACATTGGACAGCACTGTCCAGGAACAAAATTAGCTGTAGACAGCAGAGCACATAACGATCAAATAAGGATGTGGGACAAGATCGACTGCCTTTACAGGACTGTGGAGAATGACCCAAAATTACGAATCAAGAAAACTTACATTGAAAATACAACTTTACTAGGCGCCGAGGGTTATCGTTGCATGTTGAACGCGTAAAAGAAACTCAAATGGTTCTATCCCAAATACCATCGCTTGATAAATAAATAATTACTTAGACAATTGGTTTGTGGATATGAAAAACAAACTGGGAAGAACGCATACAGTACCGATACTTTGTGGAATTTTCAGCAAACTAATCAGTTTCTGGACAAATTGGAGTTGTTTATGAAAAGAAATCACCTATTCATTTCAAATAATCTTGACCATTTATAGGCCTAAGTTCAAACTTAGAACAGTTCAGTAGCCTCCGTAAGATTCGAACCCATCCTACCGAACTTTTCACAATCTTAACATAAGATTACAATCTGCCAAAAAACAATGACAACAAATAACTTAGCCTTAGAAGTTCATTCGGTGGACTCCGGTTCTAAGGAAAACCTGTCGTGTCAGTCAGCTCACATGCTAACTGGTAGATACTATATGCCCCTGTAAAATGGATGTGTGATCGGGATGTGAAAGGATCAGTGTTATTGCTGCAGTAATGTTTGCAACTAACAACATGACTGATGCGACTGAACAGCCAAACCAAATCGAACTAGTGGTATAGTGAAACACAGAAGCGAAGAACAATAACCCCAGAATAAATTTGAGCTTAGGAGACAAACCTTCATTTCCATAACTAGCCGATAATTTACGGGGTATATCACTGGGACGTTAGCGACACATGTGAGTCCTCACAGAATGAATAGTCTAACAATCGTACGCAATTTCTCAAATACGTACAAATCCTATGGATAAGTAGCTATGATAAACAGTTACCAAATTCCGCACATTGTCTGCGAAAAGGAAATGTTGCTTAATATGCTACCGATGGTAAACACTAGTAAAACCTCACTATTTCGATTAAGCGATATACAGACTAAATTTCTCAATGCACAGGAGATTATTGAACTTTAGGACTTAGTCTGTGGGCATCTACAGTATCTGCCAATACGCATTGCAACCACAAGCTAACTTTTGAACACATAGAAACCAACTATTGACCTGCGCGCCATGTGACCGTAGTTGTATCCAAAAAAGCCCTTAGCTCGTTCGTCAGTTCATGCTAATATGGAACAAACCTCAACTGTCGATACAAGTGGCTCAGTTATTGAGCAGGACAACTCATAGGCATGGGTGCACACACGCACACAAAGATAAACACAAGCACAAGCAGCCTTATTTGACGGGCGTATGCGGGTTGAAACATGTCGCAGAAATTCGTCCAATTTTATGTCCTTTTCGCACGCTATCTCGTGCTCATTCGTAGGCACGAATCGGTGGAGGACGAAGGTGGATTGAAATGGATTGCGAGGATGAACATGTAGATTGATTGAGAACTGCCTGCTTGAAACGGAGATTAGTGAAAGAGGTTGTGAGGGGACGGAGGCGGGTGACTGAGCAGATAGCCGAAACGAGCGAGCAAAGAATATCCAATCACTCTTGTATGGTTAATGAAGGTCAGGTGCACAAAGTCACTCATAGTACATCAGTGCGATTCCCCTGAAGATCAATACCGTAATTACTTATTTATGGCCAAATTCACACAGCAACTTAGGACTGAACTGATGTGGTCGATTACACCCGTACGATCGCTTTGTGTGACACCTGACTCCTGGTTACAATCAATTATATTGCTGAAAGGATAAAAATAAGCTTTTAGAGAGAGCATGAATCACTGTTTTGGAATGGGTTACCACGGGCAAGCTATTACGGAAAAATGGCCAAATTCTGTCCGGATTTCTTTCTGGTTAAGTTACTCGAAAATACTGTTATATTTTCGAGTAACTTAACCAGTTACCACAATCATGAAGCGTTCTGTGTTCCCATAGACTATTATAAAAGCAATTAATTGTGCTGCTTCCCTGTACGGTTTTTCATAACTGGCAGCCATCTTAAATGTTATTATTTTCGTATAGTTGGGTATGCTACAGGGATAAGAAATATCCCATTAGTCCCACAGAGTCTGACTTACACTTTGTTGTAAATCAAAGTTTGTTAACAGCATAATAATAATGGGTGGTCTAGTCCCATCCCTACCGTTGTCTTCTGACATTCGATTCTTGGGGCCATAAATTGGAAACCATTTCGTGCATCCCCACCTCGATCAGCTGAATAATGTTGTATCATTGCAATGACCATTAGGGACGACGGGTGATAATCCAAGCAAAATTCAAAGATCTTTCCTATTCTAAGGAAACATCCATTCCTATGGAATATGAATAGCAATGAACGGTGTTGAATATTCAGTTGGTTAGCCTATAATTCTTCGACTTACGGAATTCTTAACAACCATCTCCCTGAGGAAACCCGGGTGCTCTGATAGAAGCTACAACACACCGATTGTAGTGGAAACTTTATAGCACTGGGCTTAAGATATTGCAAAGGTTTATTTTTAAAAACAGCTGCTCATTTTACGTCAACATTCGAACCGTTCTTTCGCCTTGCCGAATTAAGCTAATGTTTTCATTCTTCTTCTTTGATTATTTTAGTTCCATTTTCTTTGAAAACCTAATCATAAAATCAATTGTCAAGGAGGAAGAAATCAGTCACACAAGAAAAAAGAGTAAGTTAGGTGGTGAGGACGAGGTTTGATTTCACCATCTTAAGGGCCGGTGAATGACGGCCAACTGTGCTTAATGACCACTGTAAGAGGTAGTAATCAAACCCAAGCTCACTTCCACGAATCGGTACACCCAAAAGTTTCTCTTGAGTTTGTTGTCTTAGGCTGTTCAAACACCCGTTAATGTTCTGTGGAATGATTAAAAATTGGAATTTTGACAGTATGATAATTGAAGTGACAAAACGGATGAGATGTCTGGGCATAAGACTTAAAATTTAATTATTTGATGCTACTTACAAGATATACAATTTACAGATGATGATTAGCACAGACCCTTTAGAGAACCGCGGTCAATTCAAAAGCCTCAGTATGGCTGAAATTTCGGTGTCTTGGGTGGTAATTGACCAACTTTCTCTTGCACCTCACAATTCCAAAAGTCCACGCTTCTCAACAACTATCTGTAGAGCAAGACATCCTCACAGCCTTCATGTGGTGGTCGTGTTTTCCACCAAAGTCGGGAGACAAAGAGGTATCACATGGAGTTACAAACAGGTTGTTGAAGCATCCGCAGTTAATCCGGGCCAGTTGGCATAAGACCCTCAGTTCAGTTCGTCTTTTACAACCATTAACTATGCACTTTCGTGGGACTGTTTTGGTTGCTATCTTTTTTTCGTCCATTTGAACAAAAGAGCAGAATGAAGATTGGAGTGCTGGGAGAAAATTCAAGTGGAAGATATAGAATTCATATAGACTGCTATTACAAAAATAATAAACATATGCATGAGCGCCACAGTTTGCCACACCCAGTCACACTGCTGTGTCTCTAACCATCGGTGACCATTATCTCGGGGTCCCCAGCCACGAAGCCTAACGGGACCTATGTGACCCAGTTTCCTGGTTAGGATTTTGATACCCTCATGTCAGGTCTCTGATTCCAGACTAATGAAAAAGGAGTAGAAACCATACCCAATCATTCCTAGTTCTGGTAGTGCTCATCATCTTGATAAGGCTTCTAGGAATGTTGTGCAGCCTAGACGTTTAACCCCGTCAGGTGTAATGAGTTTTTCAAAAGGTACGTTTGCGGATTCCCCGGGAAGGGTTACCTGCTTTGGCCCACATAACCTAGCAGTGTTCCACCCACAAGTAAATTATCAACCGATTTCTTCNTTCGTTGCAAAGATTGTTGTGACCGAGTGCTGTTGGGTTCATCGTCTGAAAACAGACAAATGTTATTACGTAGGATAGTGTATTTCTGTTTTATTCACCTTACTCACCATGAATCGGAAACCAAACAGATCTCCTCGAAATTTGGTACACAAGTCGAGGAGAAATAAATATAGTAGTAGTTCTGCTGTAGCAAAACCATTCCTTCGGCTATCATATCTCCCTAGATTTTCCTAAATTTCGAAAAAATACGCTTGTCTGGCATTAGTCAACCCAAATGTTTCACAAACTGTCTCGCTCTTAGCAAAAGTTAGCAACAGTCGGCACTCCTGGCCACTGATCTTCTACTCACAATCCGTAATCCCTGATTTAGGAGGCAGTGGCTTCCAATTAAATGAACTTGCAGTTATTGCGGCTCCTCGACCACTCATATGTTCTTGCACAAGAAGAATTCCTCTCCACGTACGTCTGCGCTGGTTTTCAGTCATTCAGACACCACTCTGGTGTCGGTGTTCCCAGATCAGTAACATCTGACCCATAAGAATTAGAACACTTATTCACACATGGATTGTGTAGGAAACGCAAGTGGTTCCGGAGATTTAACCAGTAAAGAGTGCGATTACGTGTGTTCTTTCCATTCTTGTGTTCTCTCTATTTAGAAAACTTTGAGAAAATATTAGATGAAGTCCGAATAAACAAAAACCTAAAGGCAACGATTTTTGGAGATTTTGTTTCTTCATCAAACTTTATTCGTCAAACAAAGTCGAGGTCCTGCTCAGCACTAGTGGGATCCCCTGAGGAGTCATGTATCACTATCTGGTTAAAGTCCACGTGTAGCATGCTATCAAGTGACAGCCTGGATGGCTCAAGCGTTTAGGGTGTCGGACTATTAAGTCCCTGTGACCGGTTTTAAATCCAGATGGATTTGATAGTTAAATTAAAACACAAAAGATATCAAAACTTTACGGTAAAAAAAATAATTAGTTATTCTCCTTCTTTACCTTAGCTGTTTGGCACTCCACTTTACTCTGCTTTGTACCAGAACCCCCCATGTTCTGTCATTCTTGTTGTTTCGTTGGCATGTATATATATACATAATATTGTAGATATGCACTGTTACTTATTTCTAACGAGGATGAATCAGCTGTTCAGTGCTTTGAAGCCTCTTTTTGGTATGTAAAACGCTAACTGTGCTTGATGAATGCACTTCGTTAAACAAACGCATGCTGCTGCTACTCAGGACAGTGATTTGCTAATGCTCCTAAACGGCGAACGTGAGACTGATGATCCGAAATTAAACTAATGTTTACAACTACCTCTGGCTACCCTCATGAACGCCCCAAACAGGCGGTAATAATCTTTAGAATACGAAAGTACCAAACGTTGCCGATACCAAATCCCGTTTCCTGATTTATCTTTTGACGTAAGAAGGCCCTTGATTATCAGCTCAACATTATCAACCGAAGCACTATCGTAAAAAAGCACTGCTGCATATCAATACTTTGTTCCCTATGTATGTTCCCATGCCCTTACAGATTACACTTCCAATAGTATTATCACTTGTGATGAAAATCACTCTTCTCTCTTCTCTTCTAGTTTTAGCGTCACTGATTGTATTTGCTGGCGTATACACTTTTGTGATTTAAACGTTTGCATATTATGACTACCACTGATTAGTAGTGTAGGCGAAGCTTTGTGAAATAACTTCTCGCTGCTCTTCACTTAAATGCCAATATTGAGAATATTTGAGGTAAAAGATCGAAAAGAGAGAAGCAGAGCGACAGAAAGAAACCGGGACACCAGTGGTTTTTTTCAACGGACGGCAAACTCTGATTAACGGTGCCATAGAATTTTCGGTACTTTGACAAGTCAACAAGCGACCAAGCCAAATCGCGTTAACATCAGTCACACGGGATAAATGCGGATAAAATGTAGCGGGATGGTGGAGGGAGAGAAAAGACAGAGAGAGACATGCGCCAAGTACTTGTCACAATGAACGGCATCAAACTGGAAAACTTTTCCCGATAAGTGACATTCAGAAAATTCACTCCATTCCATTAAATAGTTCAGCATGGAAATAAACTGATCAGGAAAAACAAACAGCTTACCTAAGCCTATTTCTATGTCATGCGAATTTATAAGCACACTTACATTAGCTTTCCGTATTTGGCCGTCCACTCGGGCCAGTTGCAGACCTTGCTGAATCAATTCGACCAGTTTGGTGGCGTTTAGTGATGTCCATATCGCGTCCAGAGTGTGTTCAATGTAACTCAAACCGGGTCGATCTGGTGAGCTGCTGAGTAACCATTGCCACACATTGGTCGGTGATGGAACAAAGTTTGAGGCAATTTTGAACGACGGGTCTGCGTTTAAGGCTTGCGCTGGGAGATACAGTAACGGTGGAGCCAAACAACCACGGAGGACATTCATGCAATAGTTTTGACACAGGGTATCCGTGGCCGATTCGAGTAAACTGGCTGTGTATTCAAAACTGGTGAACGCGTCCTCCGAAGAGGATGATAGTGTTGTAGAACTATCCTTTCCATCGCAGCCGGACAGGAGGTTTTTCATTTGTCGATAACAGTACACAGAAGGCTCGATGGTTACGAGAGAACTAGCCAACTGCCGAATAAATCGGAATAGAAACGGTAATAAAAATGATTTTAATTGATACGTCAAAATGGAGATCAGTTCAGATCAAAATTTTGTACTACTAAGCCCATGACTGAACATAAGATCCCTGCAAACTGCCTCTTGTGGTAGTCCTGCGGATGCAGTTTGACAAGCACGTTCATCTTTATGTTTATCAATAAACGACAATATATAGTCAAACCTTAATCGCAAACGCATCTGAAAGACCGTTCAAACTTTTTCACACGTATCTAATCCGCAAAACTACCATACAATCCGTGAAACGATTATTTGATGTTATCTTATCTGGAAATAACTCTGAGATTCGGCATAAGTTAATTTTCCTTGACATGCATGAATCTGTTTTCAAATTCACTGATCTGGTGTACCAATTGTTTACCAAGACAAGGTGAACTGCTTTTCGGGCACAGTTAGCAATGTGCTATTATGGGGAAGCCTTAACAATACCGAATTTCTTGGTCATGTATTGCCGCTTCAAATATCTTGAGAACCAGTCTGAGGATAAAGTACTTCGATTTGACATTCTTCTCCGAAATGGGGGTTGATTAATTCAACAATCGTCTACCATTCGTCCGGGACATGGTTCTGGTAATATTACTAAACTGACTGCTCGTTGCAAATTTGAAAAGTTATCGAACCTCTAAGTCAAGTCCAACTATTTAACTCAGTAGCAGCGTACATCAACCGAAACGTTTAACTGAATCTTATTTTCAAACCAATAGCAACATTTTCCGAGTGAGAGCGTAACCAAGCCATCCATGTAGGATATAACAAATTAAGTGTATGCAAAGGTTTGAAACATGATTGTTTGAATGGTGAACGAATAATCTGTCAGGAATCACATACGTTCACCTAAAAGGGTATCAGTTAATTGTACGCGAGTGGAGCCGATTAGAATATTTCTCGAAAAGGTTTTGCGATCTTGGGATGAGTGGGACTCGAACAATTTGGCAAACGAGTCGCGTAGGTAAGTCCGTTCGAAGGCTTCTTATGTTATCAACTAGCAGACCATGGAAGACTAACGGAAAGCATATTGCGAAAGCAGTCCAATGAAAGCTTAAAAGCCGCATGACAAGAAGAGGTGCGAGGAAGAGTTGAGGGTAGGAACCCAGCAAGAAAACCCTGTTTGTGAAATGAAACCGGAAATTACATGGTCGTACCTCGATTAAAAACAACAGCAAAGGACTCAACGTATAGATCAGAACAAGTGTTGTTTTACGCCTTGCCCTACTGAATAGAAAAACTCACATATGAAGATCAGGGAATGTTCATAAAAATGAATAGATTGTGAAATATACTCTACATGTTTAAATATGATCTTTTTGTATTTTTCCTTTCTGTTTCAATGAAAATTGGACGACCAGGTTAGGTCCAAGCTATTCCGAGATTGAATTTTAAGTTCCGCAACGATCATTAAGTTACCAATAATCAGCGAGGGAAGTTCGATAACGTTCTGGTGTTCTTTTTCACCGAATGGGGTATAATACTTGTTGCTTACAGATAAAGCGCATTCCTAACTTGGCAAAACACATAAGTGAGGAAGTACAAAGTTCCGTAGATGCATCTGTGAATATTTCACATTCCCATAACCCCAAATAATCTGACCGGCATAGTGGGACAGGAAAATAGAACACCAACAGGAAACGAAAACACAGATCATAATTTGGACAGTCAAAGGGCAAGTCGAAACACTGTGTTTGGTCTGTCTCTCTCACGTGACCCGCATCGAACACCTTGATTCGAAACCACATCAAGTTGTGTTATCAAAAATGCAAATATCGGTAAAATTCGCGGTAGCAAACCGCATACACAGATGAGCACACACCAACATGCATTAGATACAAAATCCGTCGATATGCATGCAAACAACGGGGTGGGTGAAATTCAGATCAGAGGACAGAACTGGGAATGGTTGTTTGTGTGTGTTCCACTGTTTTTTTACGAAAGGGCCGATGAGTGCGTCCAAAGTCGTTAAATAAACCGCCCCTCATTTGGATATAACTTCCAACACATTGGTACCTACGCGGATGATGACGATCAGGGGAGGAGGAGGAAGTCGCGTGCTAGAATGAGAATACAAGTTTGGTAAATAAGTAGGCGGCTACGAGATCAGGTTTTTGCATAAGCCCAACTCACACGTTTCGCCTTTGCTGATATTGATTTATCGATCGAACGATCTAAATGATTTGAGTACAGAGGAGAAATCGATTTGCCTCACTCGGTGTACCTAAGAGGAACAGTAAAACAACGTGAAGCACCGGGAGCCTGAGATAACTGAATGATTCCAGCTGTTCGGTCCCCTGTGATGTCGCAAGTTTGCATCTAATACGGATTTGGGATTAGAAATAAGTTCAATACGAGCAAAATCGTGTGAGAACTGCTATTTTCTAGAACAGTTATAGCCTTAGTATTTTATAATTATACCTACTAATCAGATTTACTTAAAAGGAGGAAATCAGTTCTAAGTTAAGAAGTGTTAACAGGCTGAAAATTCTGCCTCAGCAACGCGTAGAGCAAGTGAACCGTTATCTTAATTTCACAAACCCATTGAGTGGCAATCAAATTAACATCAGGAAAACATCCTTCCTGAGGTTTCACGAAATTCTGTACTAAAACGAGCTGGATACGTTTTATTATTCGATGAATGTATCTAATCTATCGAGCTCACCCATCGCATCGTAACTACTTTGCATCACACGTAACTACAATTGACAACACGGTGTCACGACCCAACCAGAATTACTTCATGTCCCAGGTACATAGTTCCAAAGTAACGAAAGAACACGGAGACTGGCACTGACCAAGCTCACGTGTTTCCGCACACCTTCGTAGGTTTAAACCAGCCAGTGAATGACCGAGTGCACCATCCAAGTTTGGACCAAACGTCGGCAAATACTGGTCAGTTGATTGTAATCTAACACCGTCGCTAAAGGACTGCAGATGTCATGTCGAATACTTAAAACAACCGAATCATCTGCTATCAATATCTAGGGCCATCCATCTCGAACGACATTTCTTAAAATTGGTGCTTAATCCCAGTTGGTCAGATTTTCAGCGTTACTCTTCCGAAGTCAAGTTATATACCACCTGAACCATTAATTCACCCCAAGTTGTTTGGGTTCCAATGGCATATTCATTCACGTTATGACTGGGTTAAGCAGTAAATACCTAAATATATAAAATCGTAGATTAAACATGAGTATCGACTACTTCATTTGTACAAACATCCAACCCAGGTAGGTAGGCGGCCATTGAGACTTGATAGTCTTTTGTTTTGTGTTTGAATAACAAGAAAATTGTACTCCGACTCGTTAAGAAAGTTGCCTGATATAAGTATTCTTCAATCTCGCCCGACACTATCAGTGCTATTACACCACTAGCGAGAACGGTGTGTGCACAGCTGATAAGTAGTTTGAACGTTCCTTCTAACCAGGCGCAAACCCTAAATTTTGGCATGTATCTAGTACAGTTGCGCCATTTAATGCACTCGATTCGAATACTGTGTCCTGTTTGCAAGCAGCGCAGTCTGATCCTTGTACCTGATTCGCAGCGTCTGTCCGCATTCAATAAACAAATCTGACCAATGACTGACTTAACGATGTCACTTTGTGTTCACCAGAAAAGTATTAATACTTTAGATTGAGAGATAACAAGCTGAAGGGGAGAGGTTCACTCCCTTTTCTTTGTTTTATCAAGGAAGTTAGCGGAAAGTTTAAAGGAAAACCTGTTAAGAGTAGCAGTTAACTCAGCTGAGAGATTGAAGACAAATAACATAAAATGAAAAAACAGGAACTCATTTACTGGTTGCATGGTAAATTAAGAAACTTCACATATGTCCATTTCCAGAAGAATAGTGGTGTTTGATGACTCACAGAAAACATGAAAGGACTTCAATGGAGGAGTTATTTTGATTAGATGGTGAACCGCTATATGTATAGAGAGAAAATGAGACGTGAACTGAAGAGCTAGGAATCATTAAACAGCTATTTTGACCTCGTTGGGTCTCATCAGCACTGTGAATCCATCTGTCTGAAGGTCAGGGTCCTCACAGGTAGAGCCCAAGCGTACTGTCCAGTGCTTCCTAGCTTTTCAGTTCATTTGCTGTCGGTACCAGGTGATTGTAATGGACTAGTACTCCCTTCCTCAATAATTTGAAGCTACCAATTGAATGACACTAAGAGGGAGTGCAAGTTTCCAACTAAGCCATACTTTCCGTTTCTTATTCGACACGATAAAGCAACATATAATCAGAAGCATTACAAAATGATTTTAACCCCATCCTTTCCCCCTTATGGTCACCCTGGTTGACATTTGTATGACACATTGTTCTTTTGGAATTTTCGGACGAGGTAACCGAACTAACCTCAAATCCGTTAGTGTATTTATTATTTCAAGTTTCGGCATTTTGAGATCAGCGGATTCATGTTAATTTGGCCGTCGTATACGGGACTGCTGACGATCGACGCACTGTTTTGCACTCCACTAATCACTGTTCAGACTTCGTTCCCAAGTAAAAAAAAATTCCGTTCAGCCCGTTGTACTCTCTACGGAGGTCATAGATGGTGTGCGTTCAATCGGCAGAAGGCAGAGACTGCTGGAATAATAACTTTTAAAATAAGTAGAGCATCTGTATGCTCTACAAGTTATATAGAACCGAAATAAAATAGCTAACACTCCTCCCCAACTATCACACGAGTTTAATTTTCGTGAAAACTAATTATTTAATCACAAATCTCGGTTTTGATTTGGGGCAACATGTTCCAGTTCTGTCTGAGTACCCCCTTGTCATTCATATACCCTTGTCATAGTGTTACGAGGGTAAGTAACTTTAGGTGCTTTTCATATAGTTTTGTTAGGAATAATCGTTTCACAATCAACCCTTCTATTCATCTTCAACAAAATCTCAAAACGCTTCAGTT